ATGTTGGTTCAGTTTAAATCTCTCAACGGTTTATCCTGATTCTTTCCTAGTAGAGATTTTCTCTGGTTCAGATAAATCACTCCAAGATTTATTCTTATTCTTTTCCAGACCCCTGCTGGTTCAATTTAAGTCTCTCAATGGTTTATCCTGATTCTTTCCGCAATAGACACCTTCTCTGGTTCAGATAAGTCGCTCCAAATATTTATCCTGATTCTTTCCATTGAAGTCAAGCTTAGACTTAGTCTAATTTCTGTCAACAATCACCTTTGGATGGCATCTATAAGCCCATCTCTGCCAAATCTCAAGCATTTCTCCAAATGGCATCTTTAAGCCCATTCCTTACACCTCAACCACAATATCATCAAGTGCAAATTTCTGGGCACTCAGGTGTTCAATCATCTTCCACCTTAAAGTCACGAGTGGAAGATTCACCAATCTAACTCTTCAGGTTTAAAAAGATTGAACATGGGCAGTTGTTGTACCCCAAAATTTTCCCTATCATTTCTTAAAGGATCATCTTGGACCCTCAGGTTTGCTTCTATCAAGTTTCAAGTCTCGGATTACAATTTTTCAAGAAAACGTTATTCACAAGGGCAAAATGGTCAAAAGCACACTGAAAAGTCAAACTTTGACTTTTGGATCAAAATCAAGTTTCAACAATCATATTTCATCAAGACAAGAAATTGGTTCATCAAGAAATTAAAAGTAAAAAATTACTTTGAAAAAAGTCAAATTTCTAAACACTTAGAAAATTTTCTAAGTATGAAGAAATATGATAATTTCAGAACTTCTGGGCCAAATTTCACGCAAGCACGATCAGAATTTGCAAAGACGGTTCAGAACATGATTCTTCAATCAAAACATATGGAAACCGTGTGCTTCGATCAGAACATGACTCTTTAGCATATGAAGACCATGTTCTACACTTCGATCAGAATATCACCCTTTGAATCTCATGCTGGTCTTCTTCGATCAGAACATCACCAAACCCTAAAACCTCGTTTGAGCAGTATGTTGCACTGCTATGGCACAGTCCTCCAACCAGCTGCCACAATACTCCAAATTGTTGATCCAGTCCACGCCTGCACTTTCTCAAACCCAATATTTACACCAAATTAGCATATAAAGGCTGTGTTTAAAAAGCAATGGAACAGTATGTCAAAAAGGTTTTAATCCCATTTATTCCCCCCCCCCCCCCAAAACCACAACAAGCTCATTTATAAATAAGTTGTTCCATCACACGTTCAAGGGGTTGGCTTTTGAAAAGAGAGAGGGATCAAATACAAAAAAAAAGAGAGAAAATAAAATATTCAAACATTCTCAAAACCCAGAATTCTCAAAACAATATTTTTGTTCTTCCCTTTGAATCAAAGAACATAACACTTTCTGTTCCGTTTTTTGCTGACCCCAGAACAGTCAAAGGCAGCAGCTCAGGTCCCAAACACACGCTTCAGATTCAAGGTAAGTCATTCTGACTTTGAACTTTTCATTCAGAACATCATTAAATATGTAGATATCATATTGTTGAGACTGCATATATCATTACCTAAGTAGATAAACTATAGATCAGCACTTCTTGAAGAAAACTAGGCTCAAAATTAGGATTAGAACTTCTATAAACTGTCGTGTTTTTTATCTTCCTGTTTTACTGTTGTTAAGAACTGAATAAGTTGCAGATGCTCTGGCTAATGTAAGGAAGGAGGTGAAGTGTAACACAAAACTTCTGAGTTTTCTTTCCACCATTTTGACACAGTATTAGAACTTCTAGATTTTTTCTCACTGTTTTAGCACATCATCAGAACTTCTAGATTTTTTCTCACTGTTTTAGCACAGCATCAGAACTTCTAGATTTTTCTCACTATTTTAGCACAACATTTGAACTTCTAGATTTTTTCTCACTGTTTCAGCACACACAGAACTTCTAGACTTTCTTATTGTTTTAACATGCACATACCTTCTAGGTTTTCTTACTGTTTTAACACAACACACAGAACTTCTAGGTTCTCCTCACTGATTATAACACAACACAGCTTCTGGTTTCCTCTAATGTTTCTTTCAGAACTTCAGCGCGCAGCAACTCAGAACTTTTGGTTCCCTCTAACGTTTCTTTCTGAACTACAACACGCCTAGCATCAGAACTTCTGGTCTCTTTGATTTTGTTTTCAGCAACGTGTTGATCCCGTTTTCGTTATTTTTTCTTTTCTTTCTTATCCTTATTATGTTCAGCAATAATTTTATTTTTTATTAACATAAAAAAGGCATAAAAAATATTTTCTTTTATTAACTAATTATTTTCCTTTTAATTTGTTAAGACAAAAAACCATTTTCGAAAATAAATCTTTTCCTTTTCTTGTGTTGTACAATTCAATATGGTTATAATAGATAATTAGGATTTAAATTCTTGTAAATCCCCATTTGTAAATATGTACCCCCATCCCCGAAATGATGTAATAGCTTAGGCTTTATTTTTCTGCATTTTTTTTGCTTTCATATACTGTTAGTAATTAGGATGTATGGCAAGATAAAATCAATAAATAGATAACCATAATCAAAGACTAAATGCATGTATATCAAACACACGTGCACACTAGCACCTCTAGAGTAGTCTCACTTTGTTGCCTTTTGAAAAATAGTCATGTCCCTCGAATATGGGCGTTCAGCAAAGACCCTCGATAAAAGATCATAGTCCCTCGACGACCCTTAATGTTGCCTTCGGTAAACGATCTAGTCCTTAAACGACATTGCTAAAACATCACATAGGTTTCCTTCTATGACTATACAAACGTCCTGCACCAGTCCCTTCACATCCAACGATGGGGTTTCTTACCAAAACAATGGTAAGATAACAATATCTAAAGGAGGAAGAAAAGAACGTTTAAGACTTTTTGATTAGGTAGGATGCTCCTAGTTGCTCGCTTGCTCACAACAAAAATATTTTATACACCCACAACTTCACTTTGAAATATTTTTCAAAAGATAAAACACTTTGTACGCATTCTTATAGAGACGAGAACCATTACAAAGACATTCATTTTTCAAAATAATTTCAAAACCCACATCACAAACACACTTTCAAACAAAAAAGCAAGTGATCTAGAAAGCAACTAAGAGCCCGTAGATAAATACAGATGAAAAGGATGCTAACATCTTTCCTTTTCATAACCTACCCCCCTAACTCAAGAAAAAATCTCGAAAGGTCTTTCCTGTTCTTTTCAACATTTCCTTATTGGATAAAAGAAAAGTCGGTGGCGACTCTTGCTATCCGCAACAATTGCGATGAAACGCAAAACACACAAGTCAATTCTCCCACCGGGTTACAGTAATATTTCGAATATTTTAAACATTATTGCTTGTGAATTATTTGTTTGACTCATAGGTGGGAAGATCCACACTTAGGCCAACATATGTTATGGTGTAAAGGTGAGTAAGAAGGAAACATGCATGTGTGGACATGACTAAAATTTTCCCATTGATGAGACTGAGGATTAGATGTTTTAGTTTGGGATAAACATCCCTAATGTTGTTTAAAGTAAACTGGTCTAACATGAGAAAGCGTGTTACAAAAACCAACATGATCTCATACCACTTGTCTTTGACACTTTTTATTGTCTAGAATCATAAATAGTGAATTTTTTCAAAGTCCAAATGCTCATGCATAGTAATATTGTGTCTAATAGATCAATGAATATAATTTTTTTAAAGATAGATTTTGGTATGCAAAAATGGATAGTGTCACAATTTGTTGTTTGTTTACTTTTTATTTTTGTATAATTTTTATTTTATATTAAAAAAATATTAATCCACAATGGATCACAAGACCATGCATAAACGACCCATGAGTAAGGCTATCAAGGCAATTGCCTCAAGCCTTTTGGAATATACAAAAGTTTCCATAAGTCAAACAACCTCTTGCATTTGGATTTTTGTATTAGTGGAAATCCTCGTGCACTTTGGATGAGGAGGAAAAAGGAATAATATGATGATAATTTTTTTATACCTAGAATTATGCAGGGCCGTGTTACTAAAGTTGTTCATGAGTTTTTTTTTGGTGAGATGAAGTTGACTCGAGAGACTAAGCAAATAACGTGAACTCCTCCTCCTTCGGGTTGGGTGAGATGAACACGGATGGAGCTAGTAAAAAAATGGTTTGATAGTTGTATGTGGTAGTCTTTTAAGAGGTTGTACAAATGAATGAATGACTTAGAAGCTTCGCAAAATATTTGAGTTCTTGTAGTGCATATATTGTTGAACTTTAGAGTGTGATAGAAGGATTACGATTAGTAAAGACCTTTGTTACGAGCTATTAAGCTTCATATAGATACCAAAATTTTTGTTCAAAATATTTTGATTTCTGGACAAGATAGTATAATCAGAATATGATTGATACAACAAACTCAACAACTAGATTGAGAAGTGCATGCGTTTCATATTTACTGTGACTCAAATACTTATGCAAATGCACTTGCCAATATATAGTGTGATATAAATCTTCTACTGATATTTATGAGCGAGTTCTAGCTCAAATTTCTCTTTTATATTAGTTGATTATATTAAAATTTCCACTCTTAAATTGATTCCAATATAATCTTTTTTTCTTTACTCTAATCTTCTTTTCTTTCAAAACAAAACAAAAAAACACATTATTATTTTTAATAAAGTCTTACTTAAAATAAATATTATTTTAATAGCAAGTTACTTAAAAACAAACTTGAGTTTATAACCTCACAATTTAGATGCAAAATAGCGTGACCATGCACCAAATCAAATTCCCTTCATGTAGCATATGCTTGGAATCAGATCCACCCACCAATAATAATATGCTATAGTCAAATTCTGAACTAAACTTTAGTTACTTCACCTATTCAGAATATGCAACGTGTCCATTTTCTCTAACTATTTATAATACCTCCTCCCCCGACTTAGTAAACACACCAACACTCTTCCCAAACTCATCTTCTTCTTCTCCGATAGGAAACTTTCAGTTCTCGCCTCCCAAAAAAATGTCCAACCCTAAAGTTTTCTTCGACATGACCGTCGGAGGCAACCCCGCCGGCCGTATTGTCATGGAGCTTTACGCCGACACTACTCCTCTCACCGCCGATAACTTCCGTGCACTCTGCACCGGCGAGAAAGGCGTTGGCAAAAGCGGGAAGCCTCTCCATTACAAAGGCTCATCCTTCCATCGCGTCATTCCTAATTTCATGTGTCAGGGTGGTGACTTCACTGCTGGAAACGGAACAGGAGGAGAGTCCATTTATGGAGCTAAATTCGCAGATGAGAATTTCATCAAGACACACACCGGTCCTGGAATTCTTTCCATGGCGAATGCGGGTCCAGGGACGAATGGATCTCAGTTTTTTATCTGTACTTCCAAGACGGAGTGGCTTGATGGGAAGCATGTGGTTTTTGGTCAGGTGGTTGAGGGAATGGAGGTGGTGAAGGAGATTGAGAAAGTCGGCTCTAGCTCCGGGAAGACCTCGAAGCCGGTGGTTATCGCAGATTGTGGCCAACTCTGAACTTATAAAACATAAACACGCATGATCATGTTTCAGCTATGGTTATTATCTATTTTTGTTTTCCTTTCTTTAATTTCGGTATGTTATGCTTTTGTCTTAGTGTTTTTTCTACTACTACTATCTTTGGGGAATTATGAACTTGGTTGAAACTTAGTGCTTTCATTTAAAAACACAAATAATAGATAATTGTTACTCTTTCTGTGTGCTTGCTTTATCTCATACAATTTCTTTTTCTTTTGAAAAAAAAAGGTTTCATTCTCCATATAAAACATTCAACTATGAAATATTGTTTCTCAAATATGTTTGTACTCTTACTTTTCTTTATCTCTATGATTCAACAAACATATATTTCTTCATATCAATCAAAATTATTTAATACATCGAATCAAAATAACCAAAAGAAGAATGAATATGATAGACAAGTAAATTGGACAAACTTTACAAATTACGTACATAGTTATTAAAATATAGTTTGACACCCTGTACTTACACGGCATATACTGTTTATGTTCATCGAACAATGTATTTTTATTAAAATTATATTATTTTAAAAAATAATAATTTTTAAAAAAAATATTTGTTTTTAAAATTTATTTTATAATACAAATATATGATTGAGTCATTAATCAATTTCACAATTCTATTAACCACAAAGAAATATTTTATTAATTATTTATTTTATTTATAAATTATTAATCACTTTCGTTACTTCATTAACCAATAAAATAGAAAGTATTAACCATTTGACACTAAATTATAATTGTATTAATTAATTTTTATACTCTATCTATCAATTTTATTTTATTATTTAATATTTTTTGTGTATTTGAGAACTCATTAACTAATTTATAAATTATATTAATTAATTTTTTTATACAAACTATTAACCAAAGTCAGAATAATATACATTTTAACTTTTTTAACAGCAGAATATATATTAATCAAAATTTAAACTGTATTAACAAGTTTTAATATTTTATTAATCAAATTAATTTTTAAAAAAATAAAAAATAAAAAATAAAAATATTATTCACGTATTTGTGAACAATATATTAAGGTTAGGTGTAAGAGTTAGTATCATGATATCATTTCTTTAAAAATAATAATAATAATAATAATAATATATATATATATATATATATATATATATATATATATATATATATATATATATATATATATATATATATATATATATATATATATATATATATATATATATATATATATATATATATATATATATATATATATATATATATATATATATATATATATATATATATATATATATATATATATATATATATATATATATATATATATATATATATATATATATATATATATATATATATATATATATATATATATATATATATATATATATATATATATATATATATATATATATATATATATATATATATATATATATATATATATATATATATATATATATATATATATATATATATATATATATGAGATATTCATCATCTCAAGATATCCAAAATAAATTAAACAAAAAGAAAATTGACACTCAATGTCATTCGGGATAAGAAAAGGAGGATAAATATAAATGCAAAAATGATTTAAGAAAAGCACTTTAACTTAATAATGAAAAGATTTGTATTTTCAAGTAGTTTCGACTTACGACGTATGAGAGAGCATCTCCAATGGTGTTATTCATATTTGGGTTTTTTGTGGGACTCATTAAATCACATCATCTTGAAGCAACTCACTCCATTTTTCACTCCAATGGTGCAATTTTAAAGAACTTATATTGGGTCTCACAATTTTACTTTATATATTAATATTTTATTCATACTAAATTTTATTTGATTTAAAATAATAATTTAAATTATTTAAATTTAAATTAATATAAAATAAATAAAATTAAACATAAAATTTAAAATGATAATTAAAATTAATCTCAAATACATGACATATAATTAAAAACAATAAAAATAAATTACATAACATAATTACTCAAATTTAATTTTCATCGTCCTCATATCCAAAACGTTCCCAAATATGCTCGACTAGATCTCCTTGAAGTTGGCGATGAACTTGTTTTTCACGAAGAGTTGCTCTTCTTTGTAGTCTTGTTGCAAGATTCGGATGATGACCGTTAAATGTTTCAGTCGTTGAGTTGTTGTTACCGACATTATCGTAAGAGTAATCAAAATCACCTCCATATGTGTGTCGTTCGTCTTCGACAATCATGTTGTGCAATATGATGCAAGCAAATATGGTATGCTTGAGGGTTTCCATGTGCCAAGCACGCGTTGGACCACATATTATTGCAAAACGAGATTGAAGCACTCCAAATGCCCGTTCCACATCCTTTCTAGCTGATTCTTGGTGTTGTGCAAATAGTTTTCTCTTTTCTCCTTGTGGCATCGAAATAGTTTTGACAAATGTAGCCCACTCAGGATATATTCCATCCGCTAAATAATACCCCATATTATAAGGAGTTTCATTGATTGTATATTGCACATTAGCAGCACGTCCTTCCAAAATATCGTTAAACACATTGGATTGGTTTAACACATTAATGTCATTGTTTGAACCTGCAATACCAAAAAATACATGTCAAATCCACAAGTCTTGTGATGCCACTGCTTTAAGCATGATCGTAGGTTTACCATGATCACCTCGACAAAATTGTCCTTTCCATGCAACAGGACAATTCTTCCATTCCCAGTGCATACAATCAATGGAACCCAACATACCTGGAAAGCCATGTGACTCACCCATTTGTAAAAGATGTTCAATATCAGTGTTGTTAAGCTTTCTCAAATACTCAGCCCCAAATACAACATTCACACCCTTAACGAATCTTTCTAAGCACTCAATTGAGGTACTTTCACCGATTCGAACATATTCGTCTACAATGTCAGCGGGAGACCCATATGCCAACATACGAATAACAGATGTGCATTTCTGCAATGGTGAAAGACCCGTCTTACCAGTTGCATCGACCCTCATTTGGAAATATTCATCATGATTGCCGAGGGCATCTACAATTCGAAGAAACACATGCCTATGCATTCTGAACCTTCTTCGGAATTGTACATCTGTGTATATTGGATTTTCTGAGAAGTAGTCATTGAATAACCGATTGTGCCCTTCTTCACGACCTCGATCTACCGTAGTTCTTCTCTTTGGCCTAGAGGAACTTCCAAATTGACATTCATTTTGATGATGTTGTTCTTCATCACTGTCGTCCATAAATTATTCTTCAACTAACTCCCAAAATTCTTGATCGTAATTATCTGAATTGTCTTGATCGTAATTATCTGAATTGTCTGAATCCATTTTAGTGAGGAATAAGAAGAGAATGAGAAAACAATGACATAAGTGATAGTATATATAATAGTTTGAATAAAGGCTAGTTATTCATAACGGCTAGTTTGAATAACAGTTAGTTTGAATAACGGCTAGTTTGAATAACGGCTAATTTGAACAACATAATATTTATTATGATTTAAAGTGGTACTAATGACCATTTTACATAGGATTTGATAAATTAAAGTGGTACTAATGACCATTTTACATATAATTTAAAGTGGTACTAACTACAGTCCATTTTTTTTTTCATTTTATTACAATATTTTTCATGAATATCTCGTTGACTTTCGTTCATAGTAGAAGTGTCTTTCATCATGATTTGCATTACCTTTAATTCTATATCGTCCTCCTTACTTTGCGCAAGTCTTTCCATTGTTTCTGCTCTTTTATTCCTTGCATCTTGCGTTGCATTTGAAATTTCCTTTGCCTTACCCTTCCTTTTTGCTTATTTTTGTCCCATTGGACGCTCCATTGGTGATGATGAGTTAAACTCATAACTTGAAGGTGTATCAGGGATCTCCGATGATGCCCCACTAGCAGAAGTCTGTGTCATTTTTGAAGAATTTCCAATCGATTCTCCGATGATGCCCCATTTAGCTTCATCTTTTAACAATCGCCATGCATACTCAAGATTGAATGTTGTACCTTGATCTTGAGCATAAAAAGCATGTGCAGCAACCATGATATCGTTCTCCGATGTCCCACTTTTCTTTCCATTGACAGCTTGTCTATAACACCCAACAAATTTTTGAACCGATGCATTTATTCGATGCCATCGACATTTTAATTGACCACTTAACTTTTCTCGCAATTGCCCGCGATACTGGTTATAATTTACAGCGATTCTATACCAAAAACTCTCAGCTTTTTGATCAACTCCCACAATTGGATCCTTTGAAACATTGAGCCATGATTGGATAAGACATATATCCTCATCCCTTGTAAATTGCTCTCGAGATTTTTTTTTAACGAGAACCCTTTCTTCTTTTTCAACACCAACTTGAGTAGAAAATGGTGGAACTTGAGAATTTTGAGGATTAGGATTTTGATACATATTTGGATTGTTTGGTGACGGAAAAAATATGGCGGGGTTTGGTGGTACTGATGGAATTTGAGAATTTTGAGAATTATGATTTTGATAATTTTGCATGAAATTGAACATAGCTTGTTGATAATGAAAATGATTAGGATCCATTTGGCCTAAACAAATGTAATTTGAAATAAAAAGATGAAAATTTGAAATAAAATGATAATGAGAAGAAATTGTTGGAAAAAAATTAAAAATTTATGAATAAAATGATGAAATTGTGAGAGAGAAATTTGAAATTAAAGAGTAAATAAAAGTGAGAGAAAATAGGATTGGTATACAATTTTTCAACAAACCTATATTTATAATAAATAAAAAAAGTTTTAAAAAAAATAAAAAAATAAAGTCGTTGCACAACGGCTAATTGATTATTTTAATAATAAAAAAATATGAAGAGCCGTTGTTTATATTTGTACCATTCACCAGCTGGAACAACTTTTTTGTTGACAATTTCAATGCCAAGCTGGCAAACCAATCTGAAAAACCACCGTTGGAGGTGGTCTAAGTGATTTCATTTCAAGTGAAAAAAAATATTTTACCTTAATTTTGAAGACGAGCTAATGAAAGGATTTATAAAAAGTGTGTCACTTTTTCTTTTGGATAAACCCTTAAGCGAGATAATAAATGACATTGATCGTGAGTGTGATCCTCAATTATAATATTTTACATTTTAAAAATTGGAAAATGCACCCCATTTTATTAATCGGATTATCTTTCGATCGGTGTAATCTTTTTAGTCTTTTTACCTTGATTTGGTGAAACAATCGGGATAAAACTATTGTTTTTAATTTTACAAAAAATTTATTTTTTCGTGTGTTTTTTTTTAAACATAACCTAAATTAACTTAAATAAAACAAAAGATTTTTTTAAAACATAACCTAATTAGAATAAATGATCCTTATGTATCAACACTATGAATTGACACACATATTCTCTTTTTACAACAAAACTAATACATATACAAATGATTAATCAACAAAAGCAAAATCAAAGTGCCAAAATTCTTGAATGGGTGTTTTAAAGTTTTCATATATGAATGATATTTGATCGTTAAACATTTATAATTTGAACGACATTTGAAAACAATTAAGACGATACAACAACAACATTACCTTCAATAACAACAACAATATTAAAATATTTACTTGTTAGTTTTACATATCTCTTCTTGATGAACATAACACATAGAATGTACATCATCTGAATCATTTTCTTCATATGAGATACGAACGTGTGACACGAAATAAGAGATCTTAGAAATATCAAGAGTTAAATTTTGATTTTCATCACTATCAGGAATATCTTTTTCTTGTAGAATAATTGATCAGCTATTGTTAGAAGGATAGTTCGAAACTCGAACATAGTTAAAAAATCTATTTGTAAACTAAATCATTGAATTAGATTCATGAACCAAATGAGTTGAATATGAGCAAAAAAACTATGTTCGTTAACTAAATGAGTTAAACTTGAACTATGTATAGTTCGACTCGTTAGGTTCATGAATCAAGTTGGTTGTATATGAGAAGAATTATATTGACTCTAATAGTAAGTTTAAAGTTGTTGTTGTTGCTAGTGGATCTAGAAGAAGTTGTAGATTTTCTAAACAAAGTTAAATTCGAATTGAGTAGTTTTTGAATTAGACATTCAAATGTATCTCTTGAAAGTTGTGTAGTTTTTAAAGTAGTAAATTTTTTAGATAAAATTAAATTTCAATCTTATAACTGTTATTTATTTTAATATATTTTTTTAAAGAAATATTAACTTAAAATATCAAATATACAAAAACAAATTAGACCTAAAAAATGGTTTTTTAAGTTCGTGAAGCAAGCAAGTTGAACCTAACTAGTTGAATCGAGTTGTTCGGAAACTTAAAATAAGTCAATTTTGAGCTTAAAAAATTCATGTCAAACTCGAATCGAGTTACAAGCTGAACCAATTCTTATTGAGTCGAGTCGAGCTGAGCTGGGGCGAGTTCGACTTGACTCGACTCATTTTCAACCCAAAGTGACATAAAAAAACTTATTTTTCTTGGGATGTCATGATGAATGGTTCATTCATAAAGATATCTTACGAAATTCAACCTATGTGAATCTTAATTCATTAGTTTGTCCACCAGTGTTAGTGTCAATTCACTTGCACTTAAATAAAGGCACTTTAAATATAATATAATTAATCTCTCAAATCTCTTCAATGACCCCAAAGTACGATCTAGATGTCATAACACGATTCTTATCTTTGAAACTAGAGAAGTAAATGGATTCATCCTCAACCATAATATCACTATTTTGCATGGTACTGTTGTGATCCTTTGATTTCGTATAGAATGAAAACTTACTAATGTATGCACTCTAAGTTATTACACTAAACTTAGACATATATGACATCCATTTAATTTCCTCAAACGCTATGTTATCTTTAGAAATCCTTTCATTGATACAAGTTTCTTGACATTTAATGAATACCCATGGGGAACTTCGATACCATACAAATACTAGCAAAGACTTTTTTTCTTTTTTACACAAAGTGTGACATGTTGGGGGGAAATATTTTGTTTTATATATTTATTTTGGGGCTAACTCTTTTCTCATACACATCTAGATGATCATTCTTATCATCTTTTGTCTTGTCTTGAATGTTGAAAAGTATTCCAATCAAAATATCACACACATTTTTCTCTACATACATCACATCAAGACAATATCATACATCGAGGATAGACCAAATGGAAGATCAAAGAACACTAACCTCTTTTTCCATATATTTTTTTCATATACCCTTTTTAGTTTTTTCCAAAGATGACATTAATATAATATTTTCGTTTATAAAATTTCTCCCCGGTTAAGGGCTTTGGAGCAATATCAAACTTATGTTCACCATTAAAATCCTTACACAATCTAAGACATGAATGATTGGGTCTTAGAAATTTTTGATACCCAAGGTTAACAGTCTTTTTCTATTCTCTAGTTGGTGGGATCATGTAACAGGTTCACATATGGGACACACTTTAAGTACCTTAATGTTGTACTGAAATAAACTATTGTATGCATGAAAATTATTAATTATGCAACACATCATGACACGCATCTTAAAATTTTCATCCTAATATGCATCATCAACATGAAAGCCTTCTTCCCACAAAACTTTTAAATCTCCAATCAATGACCTTACATTACTAAAAAGAGCATCTAACGTAACATGGTCTTACCTCAGATATTATGTCAACTGAAGTAATAACTCTTAATTAGGCGTCTTTAATTTTATTTTTTATTAAAAGACATTTCATTATGGTCGATAATAATAATTGTAATGATATGTTAAGTATTGCTAGCTTCAAATACCTACACCATCAGGTTTCCTTTTTTCGGTCACAAAATAGGCGTGTCACTTATAATCTTAATTTTTATATAAAAATTAAAATAACTTTCACCAAAGTCTGGAGTAGCAACCATTGTGAAATGTACTTATATTTAACCACAATCATTTTGTTCAACCGTGGTGTAAAATATAACGTATATTTAAGCGAAATTTTGCTATTTCAGGTCAGACAATTGTATCTCTCTTAACAAAACTAACATTCTCTTACACCTTGCTCCATGAACGCTTGCATACCAAGGAAAGGTGTTACATAAAATATATTTCTTTCACTTTCTCTTCACATTTCAGATACGTAGACGTTGTTACCTTTCACTTCCTCTTCACATTTAAGATAAGTAGATGTTGCTACCTTTCACTTCCTTTTCATGTTTTTGCTGATAAAAGTTGTATTTTGTTATATTGTAGTTGATAAAAGTTCTATATTGTTTAAGGTATGTTGTTGAGATATTTTTATGTTGTTTATGGAATAATGTTGTTGATAAAAGTTATATGTTGTTAATGATTTAGTTTTTATTGATAAAAGTTATATGTTGTTTAGGGTATGTTATTGATGATAAAAGTTGTATGTTATTGATGATTTTGTTTTTGTTTAGCAAAGTTATATGTTGTTTAAGTTATGTTGTTGTTGATAAAAGTTCTTTATTGTTTAGGCTATGTTGTTGATGATTGTTAGTTCCATGTTTTAATGGTTGGCTAAATTTTGGCTAAACATGGTTCTAAACATGGTTCTATGTTGATGTTGAGTAAGATGGTGCAACGTCTTTATCAACTGTCATAACAATTTTGTTGTTATGAGTTTTTCTACCAGATGTCGCAAAAGATGTTGTGACATCCTGAGTCTGATGGAGTAGGCGTTGTTTTTGGATATCCTTGAAAATTTAATTTGAATATATGAGTATCTAGAATATTCTGTACTCAGTATAGGCACAGACCAATCAAGGATTTTGTTAGAAACAAGTGCATATTTGATTGGTTACTAAAAAATATTGATTGACAATTTCTAGGAAACTTTTTATGAAGATTGTTTCTATTTTTGTGGAGAATATTCTGCAGAGAATTTTCAGCTAAAGATTGGAGTTGATTGAAGAATCCAAGTCAGTCCAAGTCCAACTGTAGAAGCCTATATAAGGAGTCGGTCAAGACCTATTTTTTATGCATAGTTTTTATTATAAAACCTTGTGAAAAATAAGGGTTTAGGGTTTGATAGTCCTTGGGTTCTCCATGGGTTCTCCATGGGTTTTTTATTGTACGTCCTCATGTATCTTTGATACATTTGAGTTGACTGATTGTTGCTTGATCATCAAGCTATTATTCTCACTCAAAGCCCATATGCACGAGTTGAGTATTGTCCTTAGTGAAGCTTTTAAGCAAACTAACTATTTGTAATTTGGAAATGTGTTCTTCCTTTTTGGTTTCTTGAGACACCCTGGGATTGGGCATGTTTGTTTATCAATGCGGTGATTGGAAGTGACATGGTGATTTCTTATATCTAGGAGGTGCCTATGTAGAAGTTGTATTGGGTAGGGATAGGCGAGAAGTTGTAAACGGGGGAGTTTAGCTTTAAACTAGTACTACTGATAGTGGATTCCTTCCTGGCTTGGTAGCCCCCAGAGTAGGTGAGCTGTATTGAACTGGGTTAATATATCGTTGTGTTCTTTACTTTCTGTAAGTTATAATACTGCATTGTTGTTATTGTTGTTGTTCTGTCAGTAGATGTTATAACATTTATCGTG